CACCAGCTCCTTCTGTTGTGTCAGAATTTACTTTTTGCTAATAATATTCAGAACCAAGACATTCTATTTTCTTCCATTTGGGTTTTTGAAAGCATCAAACTAAATAATATTGTTTCCCAAGCATCTCCATTATGGTCTGGTAAAGGTTTGATTGTAGCGGAGCTTCCTGAGCTTCTATTAGTTGCTACAAATCTTAACGCCTTCAGTTTGCCTCAGCTGTGGCATTGTAAGAACTCTCAGTGAAGTAGTCTTGAGGAAATAATTGATTTAAATTATTCTTCAGGCACCAGAGAGATAGTACAGTGGGTAGGGAGTATACCTTGCATACAGCCAATCCTGTCAACCTGCTTGTATGCAGGTTCAGTTCCTGTCACTTCAGATGTTTCCTGGAGCCTGCCAAGAGTTATCACTGAGCATAGAGCCAGGAGTTAGCCCTGAGCACTGGCAGGTGTGATCACAAACAAAAACAAACAAAATTAAATTGTTCTTCAGTGGGGTCAGAGAGATAGTACAGTGGATATGGCATTTGCCTTGCATTCCTCTGACCCAGGTTGTATCCCAGGCATCCCTCAAAGTACCAGCAGGTGTGGTCCAAAACAAGCAAAAAAGTTACTTTTTATTGGTTTCATATCTTTCTGAAAACTGCAGAATTCATCTGCATCATTATCTTACCAATTTGATTTTTTAAATTTATTCACAATTTATTAGTAATACACTTTTATTATTTATTATATTAAAATTTTAACTTTCTCTCTTTATTTCTGTCCTAGACTATTTTTTCTATTTTAACTTTTATAAAATTGGGAAAAATAAAATACCCATTTTCATATATCTCACAAAAATATAGATCCATTATTAAAAATGGCACATATTGATATAGAATAGGGAGTTGTTTGGGATACTGTCCTTACCTTGACTACAAATTCTATTGATTTGTGCTTATCATCTCAGAAGGAAAGGATAAGTTCTGCATTCTTGAGCAGAATTCAGGAAAAATGTAGAAGGAGAATGTTACTGGAAAGAGAAATTGGAGCAAAAGAATCAGACTAACCAATCTGACACAAAGATGGAGCTCGGCGCTGAACCGTTCTTAACCTTTCCTTTAATTTAATAGTAGAATTCAGCTAGGGTGGAAATTTAACATAATGAGATGTTTATCTCATGATGAGACATATATCTCATGAAAGAATATATTCTGTCCACTCTGCCTGAACATCCAACTACTTGTGGTCATATACACTTGGCTCAGATATCACTCTTTTCCTACCTGTGTTCTTTATTTTTTTAATTATTATTATTTTTAATCGAATCACAGTGAAATTCACAGTTGCAAAGTTGTTCATGATTGGGTTTCAGATATATTATCTCCCAATACCAGTCCCTTCACCAGTGTACATTTCCCAACATCAATGTTCCCAGTTTTCCTCACTCCTCCCCAGCCTGCCTCTATGGCAGGTTCTCTCTCTCTCTCTCTCTCTCTCTCTCTCTCTCTCTCTCTCTCTCTCTCTCTCTCTCTTCTCTCTCTCCCTAGTCCCACCCCTTTGTTGAGGAAGAGAGCTAAGACCTGCAGCACTGTGCTGTCTCCCAAGGGCTGAGCAGAAGCAATAGTAAACACCACAGGAATGTCTCCTTGGCCTAGTGTCAATTTCCATTTACAATAAAAGCCAAAGTAATGTAGGGTTTATAACAATATAAATAAAGTGTACAAATATAAATATTCATATTTATATATTTTTGGTTTCTTTTTTGGTGCCAGAGATCAAAGTCAGGATATCATACACGCCAACTATGCACTCTACCCACTGAACTGTATCCTCAGTCCCACACGTACATTTTGTGATTCCAATCTCTGACTTACAGAATGTGAGGATGAAGCTGCTTTAGGCTTTTCCAGCCGGACTTACATACTCACGCAACTTGCCTAGCTGAAGGAGAACCATCTGTGGGTATCTGGGATATCTTGTTAATATCCTTCTCCTTGCCTAAAGGCAAGGAACAACATAACATCTCTTACCTGCCCCATAGAAAAAGAGAAAAAATTTCCAGCACAAACAGTCTTCCCAATTCCTCTCTGATTTTCAGACTTTATAGCCTAACCACAGGAAAGGTGATTAAATATGCCAACACAGTTTGGTATTTAGTTTTTGATAATATTCTGTGTTATTTTATAATTGAAGTGTAGCAATTATCACTGTAGGGTCTTGGACTAACTTCTAATGTAACAGACCATTAAAGTTTTATTTGTAGTGCAAAATAGTTGAGACTCAGAAAATATGCCTTGATTGACTATTTTTTAATTCAAAGTATATTTGATATTGTCCATTGAAAACCAGAATGATAGGTACCAAATAACTATACAGGCATTTTGAAGATTTAATCCAAATTAAGTAACTGCAACAATATTTCAAGTTACTATTTTTATAACACAATGTCAAAAATTTTATCATGATGATTATTTACCTTATATGTTTTCAATCTCTTTCTCTCTTTTTTCTGTCTTTCTGTCTGTCTGTCTCTCCCTCTATCTCTAGGTTTCTATAGGTTTTCTACCAATAGAAAACTAGGGTAGTTTTCTTTTCTTTACAGTGAATAAATGTCTGCCCTTTCATTGGTGAGCAGAAGCTTGAGAAAATGCAAACTTTTGAGATGCTAAACATCAGTTTATTATGCAGTAATTTTTACATAATTTGAGATAAGAAAAATCTTTGAAATATTCTCTGGTTTGTTTGTATACAAAAATTTAGATTACAATCAATAAAATTAAAGCTTTCTTAAAGAACATAGCATATTAAAGCAAATTAATAATTCATTTTTCTAGTTATATACAAACTTCTTAGGTATAAAATTACTACATAACCAGGAAGTTTATAATTTTTAAGCTCAAATTACAGTATCATAGTAGTTTCTCACAATAGTTTTATGAATATATTAGTATTTATGTCTTACAAATGAGAACAAGACTTTACAAGTCGAATATACTTCAACATTTCTTTCATTTTTAGAACTAACTTTTCATTGAAGGTAAATTTGCTTATAGAAAATAGGAAGATCATAAAATTCTTGATAAAGTTTTTAAAAGTGAACCCAGCTAGTTTATTACCCCAGAAACTATCTGATTTCTACTACAGTCACAATATCTTTCACAAATGTTAGGGGAGTATCATCCTGACTTTTAACACAACAGCTTAATTTACTTCGCTCTTTATATAAATGAAAACATACAATAGATTCTCTTTTGCAACCTGGTTTTTATGACTGTCATTTATGCTGGATATACTATATTCTGCTCATTCTCATTGTTATCTTATCATGTAACACACTGCAAAACTAAGAATAAAGAATTAAAAATATAAATATGTAAATATTTAAGCAAAAATTGGAAGAATGCTAACTTATTGTAAATAGTAATATTTTGTAGGTTGTGATACTAAAGCATATACATATAATAAAAGATACAAAAAGGAGCACTGTAGCACTGTAGCACTGTCCTCCAGTTGTTCATCGATTTGCTCAAGCAGGCTCAGTAATGTCTCCATTGTGAGACTTGTTGTTACTGTGTTTGGCATATCGAATACATCATGGGTAGCTTGCCAGGCTTTGCTGTGCGAGCGAGATACTCTCCATAGCTTGCTGGGCTCTCCAAGAGGGGTGGAGGAATCAAACACAGGTAGGCCAAATTGTCCACGTGCAAGGCAAATGCCCTGCTGTTGTGTTATTGCTCCAACCAAAAAGGAGAAATATAAATAAGGTTAATGCATTCCAAAGTTCTAGTATTATTGAGGCAATTGTTAAAGCAATAAATTATACCAGATTCTAAAAAATAAATGTTTCATAATAGAAATGTTGGTACTTAACTAAGTATGGTTATTTCTGGGACATATTGTATTGAATTGAGAAAGTTTTTATTTTTGACAAAGACCACTTAAATACTTTATTTTAACAAGAGTCTACTATATTTATACCACATGTAAAACCATATATTATTCATACAATGAATGACTAATAATCAGTAATTCAAAATTTACTAGTTACTATATTCAGGGCAATGTGTATAAGCTTAAGATATGACAGTGAATAACATATAATATTCTTCTGTATGGAAACAATAATATTGGGGATATAAACATAAAATTTAATAAATTCATCAGTACACAATATGTATGAAATTCCCTAGGAATTTGGAAAAATTTAAAATTTAGAAGATTAAAGGAAAAATAAATCATCATTCTGATGAATAGTTATACTAGATAAAGACTAATTTCTTTTTTAAAAGTACTTTTTAATTTGGAGGGGGAAGGTATAAGCAGCAGTGCCAGCTCTGTGCTCAGACTTCATTCCTGGTTGGGCCCTGGGACCATAGAGGGTGCTGGGTGTTGAAGTTGGGTATGCCACATATAAGGCGAGCACCTTACCCATTGTAGTATCCTTCCTGCCCAACTCAGTTTTATGAAAAGTTGAAGTTGGCACTTTCCCTAAATGGGCAGGCCAGGGTTCAATGTCTGACAACTCATTTGGTCCTCTGAGATTCACTAGGAAAAATTCCTAAGCTCAGAGCCAAAAATGAGTTCTGAGCACAATCAGGTGTGGTCCCAAAACAAATAGAACAAGTTTAAGTTGAAACAAAACTTAAAGAGATTGAGCCACAGAGACAATCAGCTATTTCAATGGATTATTCTGGGAGGGCTAACAGTTGGTAGACAAACCTTAGGATAATGGAGGACCTAATTCTTGAAAGAGTAACACCATAAAAATTGATTGCTAAATTCTAGAGTGAGGAGAATGAAATGGTCAGAGGGGAACTGGCTCTCTGAGTATATACAGACTAGAAGATGTCCTAAAGATTTTGTTATAGGGAGTGAAATTGGACGACAATAAGGAATCATTTTTGCCTGTCTGATTTTGTTAGGTTTTGGGCCATACCCTTCGATGCTCAGGAATTCATTCTGACTCTTTGCTCAGGGATCACTCCTCTCTCTCACCCGCATTTTACCTGCTTATCAGGTGAGTGCACCATTCCTGAAGATACTGCAGTACCAGGCCAATATGTGGAGTGGACACAGCAAGCTCCTATTCTAACCACTAGTTCCAAAATCCATTTAATATATCATTCTTAGGTAGAGGACTATTAGATATTAGACTGTTAAGAACAGATACTACACTTAATCTTAGCCCAAAGACTGATAAGTAATCAGGGGTCACTCTTGGGGGAGTTTGGGAACCAAATGGGATTTAGGGATTGAACCTACTACACCAGTTGAGTGCAAGACAAGTGCCAACACACTGTTTTATAACTGTAGGCCCCACTAGAGAATCTTGCAGAACGGCATGATTTGTCAGGTTTTAAATACTTTGGCTGCTATATGAAAATCGCTTGACATCAAGCTAGCAGCTCTAGAATAAGGAAAATTAAGCTAAAGGATACTTTTGTATCTAAATAAGAAACAAAAATATCTTAGTTCAGAATAACACCAGAGAATAGGCATAGATTCATGGAGGGCTCTAAACAATTTGAAGGTGTAATCAATATAACATTCAAATACTTGATATGGTTAATTTTTTTTAAAAAGTGGAGAATAATTGTTACTGTTTTGTCTATTTTTAAATTCTGTCCTTCTCTGTTAAGAATTGCTCAGGATTTTAACATTTTATATCTCAAAAAATGTAAAATATATTTATTTATATAAATTTTATATATTTATTTAAAATATATTTATATTTATATAAAACCAAGTGGAAATCTCAGGTATGTGAGTTACGCACACATTAGTGTGACATATGTATAATTAGGGACTAAAAATTTTGTATATATATTTTTTCATTTGTATGCATGTGTTTGTGTGTTTGTGTGTGCATGTGTAGTAATTAGTATAGAAGTGATATTTAAAAATTGTTAGTATAAATGAGATCTCTGTGGGCATGTGTATAAGAAGCACACTGAACCAAAAATAGAGCTCTAAAGTATTACAATATTCAGAACATAGTTGAAATACCATAAAATTAAAACATAGATCGTCAACATATGGTGACGAGGAATAACCAGTGAAGAAGATGAAAAGAAATAAAACAATAATCTGTGTTAATTTTAATTCATAGCGACACAGAGACCATGAAATAATTAGATGTACAAGAGATTATTTTTTAGGAAACTAATTTTAAGGAGAAAGAACAAGGAGTCAAGGACGGTGAAGATAAATTACTATGTCAGAGTGCTAAGCACATTATAACAATCAAAAGACATGAAGTAAAGGGGGTCAGGGAGTGCAGTCTGTATACTGCTGTGTCAGTCTCGCACACTTAACAGCTAGGCAGGGGCAAATCCTTAGTGCAGAAACTTCAATTTGAGGAATTCACATCCTACATTAATGTTGTGATTTGCCTAGGGATTCCTGGGAATAGTGCTGTGCAAGTATGGACTCAATCCACACGCAGAGATGGACTGGGAGAGTTTGGAAGCATGGAAGCAATCCACGTGCAGACATGGGCTGAAGAGTCCTTGGGAAGCATGGATTCAATCCACATTCAGACATGGGCTGAAGAGTAATTAGACAGGAAGTTCTTCAGCGTCAGGCACCCACTGGGCTCTGTGCCGTGCAGCAAGTTTGATTTGAACAGCCTGGATTAAAAGCCCGGAACCGTAGGTAGGTCTGACATGCCTTTATTCCAGCTGCAGCTTCCTGCTCAGGGCAGGCTGACTATGAAGTGTCAGAACAAAGCTGTGGCTCAGAGCCAGGGACCCGCTAGGCCCCTGTCTCCTGTGCATGCGCATGTGTGTGATTACACACCAGGCAGTTACATAAGCATCAATGAATCAATCCCAGCAGGCCCTTAAAACAAGGTTCTGAATCTTGCCCAGTCAGAAGCCAGGTTAAAAGGAGAATAGCATGATCATGGCCATTTCTTCTACATTTACTTATTCTCCCTGCTGTAATGATGATCTGGGTAGTATGTCTCATGTTCATCAGTGTCCTGGGAAAAAAAGTGGTATACAAGAAAGAAGTGTTGAATCGTATAAAAATGCTGATAATAAATCAATAAAGAGAAAGACTGAAACCTAACTGTTGAACCTAATCAGGTGGAGTTTATTGATGAATTTGACAAGAATAGTTCTGGTGGAATCAGGGGACTTAACCTGATTGATTTGATTTGAGCAGTGAATTAGAACAGTATTAGACTGAAAGCAGAATACTCCGAAGATAGTTTGGTATAAGTAAAGTAAAGGCCCTCCCGTTGATCATCGATTTGCTCGAGTGGGCCCAGTAACGTCTCCATTGGAGACTTTGTTGTTACTGTGTTTGGCATATCGAATACGTCACAGGGAGTTTGCCAGGCTCTGCCATGCGGGCAAGATACTCTCAGTAGCTTGCCGGGCTCTCTGAGAGGGGTGGAGGAATCGAACTCAGGTCGGCCATGTTGGCTGCGTGCAAGGCAAACACCTACAGCTGTGCTATCGCTCGAATACATACTGAGCTGAGTAGCAGCCAGGGTCAGTAATCTTGGAAGTGTCTAGGCATGTGTTTGTGTGTGGTTCAGTGAGGAAAATTTAAGTTATGAGTCAAAGACATTCATGGTCTGTAGCAAATTGTTACTAACAATGAGCCTCTATGCGTCATATATCTCTGTTTATAGATAGTCCTTTAGCAACATGCTTTTTTTTCCCCCTCAAAATGTATCTCATCTATTTCCTCAATTCCTCTCTTTGGATTGACGCTGTGACTTAATTTTGACTAATGTATAAATACTGCAGAATGAAATAATATGGCTTTTAAGACTAGCCTTTAAGAAGGCTGCTTTAACCTTGTAATATTCTCCATCACTTAATGACCATCTACTCTAGCCTAACAGAAGAAGAGAACACCTAAGGAGGAAAACCATGGAAACCCAGCCAACGGCTGGCAACAATCATTCATCAGACGTGTGTGAGACTATTTTCAACAATCCAGTCCAAGATCTCCAGATGATTGCAGCTGTATGAATAGCCCAAACCATGAGCAACTAAAGAATTATTCAGTCAAGTCAAATTGCTTACCAAAGTCATGAGCGATAGGAAGGACTGCTTATGTCCTTTTAGGATAATTTAAGTTATTAAGAATTGTAAAGACCTCAAACATCTTTTAGAACACCTTACTTTTCATTTTCTTCTTCAAATTTTTAAAATTTGCATTGCAGAAACTACTTTTTTGTGGACTAAACCACTTTGTATTTTACCATGATCATACTCTAGCTAGCTAAATATATTCATACTTAAAATACAATTTCCCTAGACTCGTATCCACTGTACTTTCGTTGTCCTTGGATGCCCTCTTCACCTGCATATGTTTTGTTACAATTATCATTCCACCACATATTATAGATATTTTTCCTTTAGTTTGATTGCCTATATATACACAGCAATCCAGAAAAATTGTATATTTAGGAAACAACTCAAATAAGTTTATTTCTCTAAGTCAGCCTGCCTGCCTGCCTGCCTCCCTGCCTGCCTTCTTTCCTTCTTTTCTTCCTTCCTTCTTTCCTTCCTTCCTTCCTTCCTTCCTTCCTTCCTTCCTTCCTTCCTCATGATTATCTACAGAATTCTCATAGTATATGAAATAAAAAGCAGTAAATTTCATTTTAATAGCTACTTTTTTTTCTCAGAAAACATTTGTAGAAAAATAATCTCTTTTATATAAAATTTGAAGTTAGGAGATACTAGACATAAAGTCAAATCTTATTTCCGATCACCTTATAAACTGCTTAATGTGTGCTTTAGTCACCTAAATTGTTGAACTACTAGTGACACAAAATATTTCCTTTATTTGCATTAATAGGTTTTAACAGTATACATGAACTTTTTCTTCTTAGTTCTCTAAATTTATCCTTAAGCTATATAATCTTGAATGAGATGGTTAATTTTTTTCTGCTTTATTTTAAAACTGTCATAAATCTCATGCTTATTTTATAGATGTTTGGTTAAAATTAAGTGATATCAATAACTTCACAAATAAAATAGAATTCAGAATATCCATGTACCTAGAAACTATTAGCAAGTGCTATATTATCTTAGGCCACTTTAAAATTTTAAGCTTGTCAAATATCTTTTATGATTTTTGACTCTAAGTTCAGTACACCTTCTACCAAATGCTGTCCTTTATTTTACATCCTGTCCTGTCCTATATTTTTTATGTCCTATTTTTTGAAATCAGCTTCCTCTTAAACCTGTGAAAATAGTCATTACATTTATTTTTTTAGAAAAATTATTCCTTGCTTAAAGACCAAATAAGTTTAATTAATACCAACTATAGAAGTGCAAATGTGTCTTAGAAAAATATTATAAAATAAAAGATAAGATCATGAGTAAGAGTTAGAGTTTATTATGATCAAAATAATCTATCTTCCAGATTTTCTGAGAGTGAAATTTGTTTACTGCCTTAAAAAGTTCTGGCTAAAATCTTTGAGGAAATGATATGAGTAAATGGTTAATCATGACTAACCAGGTCCATAAAAGTCTCATGACTTCATGTTGTACATATGCTAAGGTTGTACCACACATGTTATTTTAAGGCATCTTGTGGCCAGTGTACAAGATTGCAATTTATGCTAACAGATGTTTGGGAAGGAAATTATTTGTTTAATTTGTTTATGAGTCAGAGGATTTTTGCCTGAATATAATTATAGGAAGAGACCGCAATTTGTGAAAGGATTATATTCCAGAAGTGCATTTGTGAGTCAGTTCTTTGGGACTAAGAAAATATTGTTATGTATAAACTAATTTAAGTGTTAATGTTTCCCAAGTAAGCCCACAATAACTTATTTAACCCACTTTTTCACTAACAATATATTCTTCCTGAGTCTCTGGGATAAGAATTGAAATAGAAATGGCTTATTCATTTGGCCAGTGTTAATGATTTGGTTCCATTAATTCACCTTTACTCCTTTCCAGAACTATTTTTTTCTAAACTTTATCTTTCATAAGTCTTCAACCACCTTTAAGGAGAACACCCCTGATTCTTGAAAGAGATCTTAGCAGATTTATCACCAATCCAAAATTACCTGACTCTCCTTACCACCATCAACAACTTCCATACTAATTTATATTTTTGATTTCTTAATTAAGATTCTGTGGTTTACAATAATATTAATACTGAATTTTATGCACATAATTATGACACTAAATCCTTTATGTTTAATATGTAGCTATTCTCAGATTAAAATA